CAAAACTTTTCTCCATACAATTTTATTTTTCGAATTCTTCAACTTTTGCAGATACAAATAGAATAAAATTGTTTACCGATTACAAATATATTTTAAATTATGTGCAAAAAAATATTTTTGATAGAAATGTAAAATTAATATTCCAATATGTAACCTACCAGTCCTTCTACATCCTGAACGTCAGTTAAGTGAAATTAACATTATATTCAATTTAATATGTGCAGGTTATATCAAATTGTTGGTATAAATTAATTTCTCGTGAATCTTAATCAACCGTAATGAATATATTAGTAATTTATAATTAAATACAAATTAAGCATTTTCGTTAGACAAGTTAGATCGTTCCCTCGTTAGGGTTTCTGCAATCAAACGAAGATGCTTTCATTAAAACAATCGAAAGTTTCAGGAGTTATAGAGTTAAATTAAATTATATTGTACATACACACACACATATATATATATATGGCGGAATGAACACCATATGAAGTTGAAGGACGTCAATTGATGACAATGGCGGAATGAACACCATATGACAGATGTCAGTTGAATAACGTCAATTGATGACAAAACTAAATTATATTGGGCTACGTTGATTCGGATCTGGCATCAAGCAAGCTATAACGATCTGATTGTTTTTATACGATCGTAGATTATTGTCGCGCTTTTTAAAACGATCGAAAATATTGTATCGAGTTTTTTGCCAACGAGCGTTTTCTCGTGATCGAAATTTAGATTTGATTTAATGTAATATCAACATCTTTATCAATTGAGACATTAATGAACAGTCATTATCGAGTTGAAATAAAATTATTGCGATTTCATTCAAGAATTAATTAATTAATAATATATGGCCCACCAGCGCCATAATTGGTGACTCCGAACGTGTAAGTGAAATCATTAAGCAAGAGACATTCTCAACGTCTTAGTACCCATAATTGGTGACGTCAGACGGAGAAAGGAAACACTTGTCAAATACAAGTAAATTAATAAAGGTAATTATACCAATTTTTATCAACATGTCGACTCGATCTACGTCCGTCAATGACGAAACAGCGCTCAACAGATCTCTGATCGATCTGGATCACGAGGCGATCTTTAAACATGAGCAGTCCTCGTGTTCTGAACATGAACTGACAGTTTATGCTGATCAATACTATAGCAGCATTTACAATCACCGTCTCACTCCATTCAATGGAGATTCTCCAGACCTATGGTTTTTTAGTTATTGAACATGAGTTTCAGTCTGCTAGGATCAGGAGTGACAATACTAAATACACAGCAGTACTCAAAGCCCTAACTTCGAGACACTGCGCCTCATCCAGGATGTCCTCCGTAATCCACCAATGACAGGCAATACGAATATATCAAAAACACTATATTAAGCAGAATGTCTGAATCTAGAGTAAGCAAATTGACAAGCTATAAAAAAACTTAACTCTAGGAGAGAAGAAACCATCACGCTTCTACAAGAAATGATGAATTTGGCTAAGGGAGAGGTCAGTGAAGACATCATAATTAAATGTGGTCAGAACGCCTGCCACACCATATTCCGGGGGCCACAATTACTAGTTCTCGCCATCTTGGTCCGGAAGCCTGGCG